ACCTGGACCTCCTTACACCTGGTCCCCTTCACCTCTGCCTCCCAGCAGGGAGCCCCCTCTTGCTCTCAGCAGTCCTCGTCATCACCCGAGGTGTTGCCCTTCTGGAATCTTCCCTGTGGACTCCAGTTTGAGACCAGGATCTCCTCCGCTACTCACCACACCTGTCTTCCTGAATCTTCTAGACCAGCTGCTCTGTCCAATAGAACTTTCTGGGATAATTGAAATGTTCTTTATCACCTCCGTCCAAAGGAGGGTTCACAGAGGAACCCTTCATTTTATTTCATTTTAATTCATTCAAGCCCACATTGAAATAGTTACAGGTGGTGACCAGCTACTGGACTGGACCGCACAGTTCTAGAAACCCTGGGCTCAGTTTCCCATTCTCTCCATGTCCTATCTTCACGTCTTCTCTCTTTAGCTTGGCTTCCATGGTCCATCCCGGCAGCCACTCTTCCCCTTCTATCCTTCCTCCCGGAAGAAAGCTGCAACTCTGGATTAATGCAGTGGTCCTGCTTTCTCTAGGTCTACACGGGGGCTGCTGGGCACGGCTGGGGTGGTGAGAGGGGCTGTGACTTTGACGGTTGGGGCTTGCTTTCCCATAGATGGAACCTCAGCAGGAGTTCGAGTTCTGGCCAGCAAGCATCAGCCTCTCGTTCATATGACCCCAATCAAGCTTTCCCTTGTCCTTGAACCTCCAATGCTCCCACCTGCTCCCCCGCTGTCAGAAGATGCTGCCACTTCCTGTTCCGCTGAGACAAGAGGCTCTTTGGCACATGACCGCCAATTCTACAAGGCCAGTTCTGTCTGTCTCCAACCTCTCTCCTTCCATTCTTTCCAGTCACCCCATCTCTTTCTTACCCTTTGTTTCCGCACTTTGTGAGTGCCGTCTATGCTTGCTGTCCCACTTTCAGGACCCCTGGAAGTCTGGCGTCTGTCTCCACCCCTCCTCTGTCATTGCTTGCCAAGGTCGCTGGTGACTTCCTTATTGTTCAAATCCAAAGGACTTGTCTCAGATCTTATCTTGACCTTGAAGGCAGCGACACCGCTCACCACCCAGCCTTCCTTAAAACTTCCCCGTTGGCTTCTAGGGCCCCCGAGTCTTCTGGCTTTCCTCCCGCCCCTCCTCTGGCTCCTTCTAGATTTTCTTGAAAGGACAACATTCTCCTTTTCCTAGAGTGATGCTCAGGCTTCCCGGGGAAGGCTGGGTGACAAGAATGGTGCCCCACCTCCGCCCGGTGCATTGCTTGAAGAAACACCTGGGAATTCGCTTTCTCATCCAAGAGCGGCACTGTTGTGTTTTGAACTCCTGCTTGTGCCTGACATGCCTTTTTGGGTATTTATAACCCCTGCTTTGAGAAGCTCTCACAACACTTGGACATCTGTTTTTTTCATTTGTCCCCTCAGAGGGCAGTATGCTTTAGGAAGGGACACTGACAAACAAAAGGGTGTTGGGAGAGGCTGCCCAGTGGCCAGAAGACTGTCCTGTGAGAACTCATAGAAAGAACTGGAAACATTTTTGCCTAACCGATAAAACCGATAAAAGATGATAGAGGGTTGATTGCAAAACTTGCAAGAGGCTGGTCTTGGTCTGGGTCTCTACCATGTGGAGGTATAATTGCTTGAACTGTATTAGCGGCAGGGAGGCAGGTTTTGAATGGAGGTAGATGCGTTCTACCATGTCAGAATATTCCAAACCTCCAGGATATCTTGGGGTTGTGAGTTCGAGCCCCATGTTGGGTGCAGAGGTTCCTTAAGAAATAAAACATTAAAAAAAATTCTCTGCAGACAGAAATGACACAGCAGGAGGAAGGCTTAGAGTGTGCCCTGAAAGCCGGCCCAGTAGAACCCCCAAAACAGACCCAACTGGGGTGGGCAGTGAGCTGGACACCCTGACTTGCCTCTTTCAGACCTGTCCTGGCCAGACTGGCTTTCCCTGACTCGTGTTTTGGTGTGATGCCACCTGCTTCTAGTATGGGCTGTCACGCAGAACCTGTCCCACAGAGCTCGCTGCTGTCATTGCCATGGGGATGTTCTTGGGGGATGTAGGCTCAGTACTTAATACTGTGTTCCCTTTATGGCTGCCCCCTCCCACCCCAGGAGAAATTTCCTGTCTCATCTTAGTACCGAGAATAGTTGTAATTCTCTTGAGTAATCGGTCTGTCTGTTTCCATCTCATGGACACTGGGAATCGTGTAACTGGCGTGGTTTCCTTTTCATTTGGGCCGCAGGAAAGCTGAGGGACGAATTTGACCTACCCATAGGAGGTGAATAAGGCATTCTAGGGACCATTTTATTCCCATTTCCCGTCCTCCTGGTTTTTCTTTCTTCTCTTCCCTCTCCTTTCTCTACCATACAAAACTGAGAACGCCCCAGCAAAAAGCAGTAAAAAAACACCTGTACTCTCATTGTCGTTGTCATGTTTTATGCATACTTCAAAAAAAAAAAAATAAAAATGAGCTTATACTGTGCATAGTGGTTTTTTTTGAGGGGGGCATCATGTTTTGTAATTTGCTTCCCCCCCTTTTATAATATGTCATGAATGTCTTTGCGTGTAATTAAATGGTCTTCTTTGGATTATTTTATTATTTTTAAAAAATTAAAAACCGTTTTATTTATCTATTTGAATGAGAGTGAGAGAGAGGTCAGAGGGAGAGTGAGAGGGAGAAGCAGACTCCCTGCTGAGCAGAGAGCTGGCCTGGGAGGATGGGGGGGAGAAGCTTGATTCCAGGACCCTGAGATCATGACCTGAGCCAAAGGCAGACACTTAACCAAGTGAACCACCCAGGCACCCCCTGAATTATTTTAAATATCTATAAAGATCTGGCAACCTAATAGTCACAATGAACACAGCTGTATCCACTTTTTGTGTGCCTGGTCTTATGAGCATTTACATATATACCTTCTTTGTGTACATTATGTAATTCATTGTGTGTGTCCACATATTATACGCCACAGTCTTCGTATATGCTGACTCATGTGGTGCTCATAACCCGATGAGATAGATATTACTGTCCCCTTTTTACAAATGAGGAAAGCAAAGCACAGAGAGATTTGAAACTGTGCCAAGGCCACACACTCTGGGCTTTCCACCTGGCCCTCCGATCGCCCAGCCCACAAGAGTTAAACTTTTCCTTCGTCTCCTCTCACCTCACTGTCTAATTTATGCTATTTTGCCAGGTTCTAAGTAGCCTCGTAAGTCACCGAGAATCCTCTCTGCCACACGGCAGAAATAAACAGTGTAGGGAGTGGTAAATGGCACAGAGAAGGCAAAGCTAAAACCTTTCCCGAGGGCAGGGGATGAATTCGGGCTGTCTATCGTGCAAGGGAATGCGTTTATTTCCTTGGGCTGTGGTGCACACCCAAGCTGGCTTGGGTGGCCGTCTCTCAGGGAGGCTGGGGAAGACTGTTTTCCAAGGAGACGGAGCTGGGCCAAACGAGCCCTGAGGCCCCTTCTTGGATTCTCACAGTTTAGGAGAATGCCAGTAAGACAAAAGGAGACAGTTGATGGAGCTAATAGTCAGCTCTTGGGCCAGAACCAGAACCCTGGGCTTTCAGTCTGGATTTATGACTCGCTCACTCATCTAAAAGTAACAAACCAACAGGGATTGAGTTTCAAACTCCCAGCCCAGTGTATTCTTCCCCCAAAGCGCTTTGGCGGCTCTGCAGGATAGTGGAAGGATGCTGTCACTGTCCTCTGTCCTTTTGTTAAGGTGGCAGAGAGTGAGGCAAGAAGGAAAGCTTGGGTGGTCCCCAGGATGGCTGGGGAGCCTGTAATTGGGTGGGATTGCTATCCACTTGACAAGGAAGAGAGGAAGGAGCCCTCCCCGGTTTCTATTCCCGGATTTGACCCATGTTTACTAGCTGGGAGATGTTGGGCAAGCTTCTTGACCTCAGTTTCCTCATCTGCGAAATGGAGTTAATATCTACTTTGCAAAGCTGTAGTGAGGCTCGCGTGAGCTAGTGCGGGGCCGAGCACCCTTGAACATACAAGCCTGCCTCAGGGGACCTGGGGAGGGCTGAGCTGCCCCCGGCCTGAGGCCCGAAGACGCGTCTGGAAGGGGGCATGAGCCCGGGCTCCAGTCCACCACAGCATCCCTGGGATGCAGGGAGTCGCCTTCCCGGTACACAGGCCCACCACAGGGTGACAACCGGTGTGTGTGTGGGGGGGGGCGGGCAGGGTAGCAGCCCCTTCTCGCCCGCCCCGGTGGGCTTCAGGAAGAAGGGGTGGGCGGGCAGAGGTTACCTCCCCACCCCCTACCCCTCTTCCTCCGGATTCTCGGCTGTCTGCCCACGGGGGCACGGCCCTGCGCGCGGTGCCACCGGGGCCATCAGGCCCGGCTGGAGGAAGGCCCGACCTCGGTGCAGCAAAGAAAACAAACACAGATGTGTTTGGCCGCGACCAGGAGAGAGCACGTCTTCCCCTCCCCCGCCCCGCCCGCGCGCTCCCCCGGGGCGTGGGGCCGGCGGAAACCTGCGGGGCTGCCCGGGCGGCTCGGGGCAGGGACGAGGCTGACAGTCCCCGGCCCGGCTCCCCCCACCCTCCGTGGGGTGCTCGCCGGGCCCAGCCCCCTCTCCGGGGTTTCCCCGGGCGCTCTGCTCGCTTTCTCTTTGTCTCTGCCGCCCTTCCTCGGGCTCCCCGCTTCCCAGCCGCTCGCGCGCCCGCTCGCTCCGCGCCCTGGGCCGCTTCCCTTTAACTTTTCTTCTTTCCCGGGGTTAAAACTTCGCTAGCGAGCGGGCGGCTGCTCGCCGACGTTATTGGCCGGCGCCCCGCCCGGCGGCCCCGCCCCCCGCCCCCGCGCTCCCCTCCGCCCCCCACTCCCGGCGCGAGTGGCGGCGGCGGCGGCGGCGGCGGCGGCGGCGGAGCCTTCGGGGGCGTGCGTGCGTGTGTGTGAGTGCGCGCCAGCCAGCGTGAGTGTGTGTGCGCCCCGGGCGCGGGCTGGGCGGCACTCCGACCGCGGCGGGAGCGGCGGGAGCCGGGCGGCCGCGTCGTCACTCGGGCGAGCGAGGCGGCGGCCGGGGCCGGGGCTGGGGCAGCGGCGGCCGCGCCGGGCATGGAGCTGGCAAGCCCGCGCTGAGGCGGGACGCGCCTGCTGGCCGCGAGCGAGAGGCTCTCCGGCGTCCGGCGCGCGGGCTCCCGGCCCGGGCCGGGCAAACTTTTCTTTCTCTTTTGCGCTAGCCAGAGGTAAAGTCCCGAGCGCCGACTCCGCGGCGGGGACGCGCTCTGGGCCGGCCCGGGCGGTGGGGGGCGGGGGGACCCCGGGCTGCGGGAGGAAGGGGCGCGGGGCTGTGCGGGCCCCCCACCCTCCCCGCTGTCCCGCGCTGGGGCTTGGGACGCTAGGCGGGCTGGCCGCGGACCGGCAAGGCGGGCGCGGGCATGCCCCCCTCGGGCGGCGTGGAGGCGGCGGTGGCCGGGGAAACCGAGCGTTCGCCGGCGGCCCCGGCTCGCCGTCCGGCCGGGAAGAACGGGCGCGGGCGGTGCGGGCTCGGGGAGGGGGTGGTGGTGGCCCTCCCGGGACTCAACTGAACCCCCTCCCACCGCCGGCCCCCGTCCCCCGGGACTGTGGGGAGCGAGGCGAGGTGAGGCGGGCGGGCGGCCGCGGGGTTGGTGCCGCGGAAGCCCGGCGTCCGCCGGCGCTCCCCGCTCGCCGCCCGCCGGGGGGTGGAGGGCGCGGGGCGGGCTGGCTGAGCGCAGCTCCCCTCTCTCCGCAGGCGCCTTCTGCGGCGGGCGGACCGACTCCTCGGCGCGGCGGGGCCGGGGCAAACTGGACGCAGCATGATGCGCGCAGTGTGGGAGGCGCTGGCGGCGCTGGCGGCGGTGGCGTGCCTGGTGGGCGCGGTGCGCGGCGGGCCCGGGCTCAGCATGTTCTCCGGCCAGGCGGCGCAGCCCGACCCCTGCTCGGACGAGAACGGCCACCCGCGCCGCTGCATCCCCGACTTTGTCAACGCGGCCTTCGGCAAGGACGTGCGCGTGTCCAGCACCTGCGGCCGGCCCCCGGCGCGCTACTGCGTGGTGAGCGAGCGCGGCGAGGAGCGGCTGCGCTCCTGCCACCTCTGCAACGCGTCCGACCCCAAGAAGGCGCACCCGCCCGCCTTCCTCACGGATCTCAACAACCCGCACAACCTGACGTGCTGGCAGTCCGAGAACTACCTGCAGTTCCCGCACAACGTCACGCTCACGCTGTCGCTCGGCAAGAAGTTCGAGGTGACCTACGTGAGCCTGCAGTTCTGCTCGCCGCGGCCCGAGTCCATGGCCATCTACAAGTCCATGGACTACGGGCGCACGTGGGTGCCCTTCCAGTTCTACTCCACCCAGTGCCGCAAGATGTACAACCGGCCGCACCGCGCGCCCATCACCAAGCAGAACGAGCAGGAGGCCGTCTGCACCGACTCGCACACCGACATGCGCCCGCTCTCGGGCGGCCTCATCGCCTTCAGCACGCTGGACGGGCGGCCCTCGGCTCACGACTTCGACAACTCGCCGGTGCTGCAGGACTGGGTCACGGCCACGGACATCCGCGTGGCCTTCAGCCGCCTGCACACGTTCGGTGACGAGAACGAGGACGACTCGGAGCTGGCGCGCGACTCCTACTTCTACGCCGTGTCCGACCTGCAGGTGGGCGGCCGCTGCAAGTGCAACGGCCACGCTGCCCGCTGCGTGCGCGACCGCGACGACAGCCTGGTGTGCGACTGCAGGCACAACACGGCCGGCCCGGAATGCGACCGCTGCAAGCCGTTCCACTATGACCGGCCCTGGCAGCGCGCCACGGCCCGCGAGGCCAACGAGTGCGTGGGTGAGTGGGGGGCGCCGCGGGGACGCGGGCGGCGGGTGGCGGCGGCTGCGAGGGCCTCGCGGCCGCGGGTACCCGGGAGCGCCGGCGGCGGCCGCGCCCGAGGACCGCCTGCCGCGTGGATGCGGCGCGGACCGTGGGAGGCGCGGTCCGGGACGTCCAGGACTGGGGAGGGCTGAGAGCCGATTCACCCGCTGGCATGGCGCTGGCCTTGACGCTCGGCTTTGGGCCCCGTGCGCTCTGCGAAGCCGGGAAGCATGAGAGATGCTTCGGGGCAGAGGGCTTTGCAGAAAACTTGCTGACTGGTCTCCCGGACTCCGGACTCAAATGCAAACAAGCGTTACCTTACCCTCAGTTTGGCGGGACCCTGGGATCCACCTCCGCCTTACCCTCCCCGCCCTACCTCCCCACCCCCTTCCCAGGGCTGCAGCTGGGCGCGCAGTTGGGAACCCCGGTCGGGTTCCCGGGACGTTCCAGCTTCCCAACCACAAATCCCTTGGGAGGTGGCAAAGCAGTTTGGGACCGGTTCAGCACCCGACCAGTATCTCAGTCCAGCAGGCTCTGTTTGCTTTTCATGGTTTGGGGCGGGGGGGGGGGGGGAATCCCTCCCCTTTTGAACAGCGTATTTGTGTTAGCAAAAGAGTGATGTGATTTAAATTAATTACTATCTACAGATTACAAAGGAGAGTTCAGTCATTATTTTAAAATAATTGAGTCCTGCTCCAAAAAAGTGTATCAACATTTTTGTGTGTGTGTGTTGTTAGCGTCAGGGTTAGGTGAAATGGAAGAGCTTTGAATTAACCAAGGGTCCAGCTTCTGGCTTTTTAATGGGGTTTCAAATCCTGAAAGAAGTCTGACAAAACCGGCACTGGTGAATACTGTTGGGCCAGAAATGAGGCTTAAATAAAGGAGGGAGGGGTGTGGAGAGAGAGAGAGATCCGTTCTATTTCTGAATTGTACAACTTTGCTGCCCTTAGAAACTCTCAGGCATCAGTCCCCCCTCCCCCCCCCCCCCGGGGGTGGGGAGAGGGGAGACACAAAAACCTAAAAACAAAATTGGGGGGGTGGGGAGAAGGAATGCTAGAGAATTCCAGCCTGAGATGTAAAATTCCAAATCCCACGTTCTGTTTTAATGAAAAGTATTTAGTCCCTAAATGCGCCGTTCGGTGTGCATCTTTTGTGAACGTACAGCGGTCCCGCCCTACCCTCCCCGCTGCAACCCCCAGGCAGCCCGCGCGGGTTTTCTTCAATCTCTACCCCGTCCGAGGCGCATTGCTAAGTGTGCTGGTCCCCACAAACACACGTTTTGAGGTCTGGTTCTGATTAATTGTGTCATGTTGTTGTCGAATAGTTTGTGCCTCATGACTGCATGCAGACTTTTGAGCCAGCGAATGGAAAACATGTCTTGGAGATCCGGGTGGGCACTGAGGCCCAGTCAGGCGTCTGGGGCTGCACAGGGCTGTTTGCGCCAGCCCGGCTTTTGCAGACCTACTTGTTCATCCCCCTCATTTAAGGGCCTGAACGGGTTGCCAGATTGAAGTGAAGAGACTTTGCAGGTTTGCGTGGGGAGCTGGTAGTTACACCCTGACTTCGTGGTCTTTGAGAATAAAATTGCTTTGATCTGCTCCTTTCCTTTAGAAATGTTGGTTTTTCCCATCCCTTCTCTTTCCCCCTCCCTCTTTTCTTTGCTGCCTTTTGTGCATAAAAACCCTTTATTGACATTTAAAGGGCCTCCCACGGCTTTGCTATCAGTTTTAGCTCGCCTGTGCATATGAAAGATATCTTCGGGTTGTCGACTGCGGGGTCTAATTGGACGAGCGCTAGTGAATACATTTGAGGTGAAAAACGGAATCTTGTGCTAACTTTGTGCTGGCCTGAGGATTCCTCTCAGCCTGGGTATTGTTCACAATCACGGCCCACCCCCATCTCTCCCCGTCCCTTTGGATGTGGAGACGGAACCCGTATTTGTCGTAACAATGGTCATGCACTTGAAATAAACCCTATAGTTGAGGATTTTGTCTTTTGACCACAGCATTAACTGTGTGCACAAATTGGATTGACTGCTTTTTTTTTTTACAGCCAAATTGAGCAATCAACATATTAACTAATGTAATTAGTGTTTTTTTTTTGTTGTTGTTGTTCAAAAAGCTTAATTAGGCCTAATAAGTACATCATCTGCATGACAAATAATCGGCCAACAATATTTTCTGGTTTTTCCTGAAGTTATTTTAATTCTCAGTAGTCAAAGTATCTTTGAATCTTGCCAATTATTCAGTCATCTCATAAAAGCAAAGCCAATTCGACTAAGTTAAAGTTATTTATAGTTTCCCTTTTGAATAGATGTTCTGATATCTTGTAGCTACAGCCTCGGGAACGCCAGGTTGAAGTTCCCATAAAGTCGTAATTGAAGTCTCAGTGATTTTTCCATCGTTCCGCAAAAGAGAAAGCCAGCAAAGACAATTTAGAAGTGATTTACAATTAAAGGTCGAGCTTTTTATGAAAAGGCCCTATAGTGGAGATATGTGAATGAATTAGTATTTGACAGGTGTTCTGAGACACTACAGGGCACTGTGCTAGAAAAAAAAAAAAGCATTAATAAATCCTTCACATACTAACTTTCGCACTATCAGATATTTTCCCCCCAGCATAATCCCCTCTTGTGAATTTCACACTGTTGACATATCAAGTCAAGCAACCCAGATTATTTACAATGGAAGACAAAATCAAGAAGGATGTTTCTTAATTCCAAAAATCAGTCTTGATTAAAAAAAAATGAAGCGTTATTGCTCTGCTATTTTGTTTCTGCCTTTATAAAATAATGACACAGTGATTTATAATAGACTAAAATGGCATCCCTCCTTAGGTTACTTCCAATTATACCCACCCCCTCCCCCCCCAACAAAAAAAACCTCCAAAAATTTAAAAATGACATGGCTATTATTTGACTCCACGGTTCTGCCAGGGCCGAGGTACTTTCAGATCGCTAGGAAGTGCATACAGCCTATAGGTTTTCTCTGGTCAGGCTTTCTTTTTGGTGCCTTTTCAAGGTTGAGTTCTCTACGGGATAAATAGGAACTTTTCGTAAAGGCTGATTTTATTTTAAATTCAATTTTGGATTTCTTCTGGAAGAAAAAAACCCCGCAAAACAATATGAAAGACAAGACCGTGTATAACGTTACAGCCTTGACAGCTCTCAGCGGAATAACTAAATACTTTCTTCCGCCCATATGTATCAGCAGTGCTCCCATGCTCTCACACACATGTGCATTAATATTCTTCGCGTAAAAGAGCATCCGAGCATGGTGGGGGTGTGTGTACATTCAAGGGAAAATGCATGAACAGTTTTAAACCACCTGGGTTGCTAGGCCCTTTCTCCACTCCCCCTTCTTCTTCTCCTCCTTCTTCTTCTTCATGTTTTTTTTTTTTTTTTCCAAAAGAGCATCTGAAGACCATATTGTGTTTCATAAATTATTGACATCAGTTTTAATCAGTGTCCCCCTGACGTCGGAGCTGTGTTAGTATTTAGTGCCTGACGAAGCATGCTGTTTAATCTTACTGTGGGGATGTCAGCATGAACCCCTGCCTGGTTTGTGACAGGGTGAGCTTATGAAAACTTGTTCTGCGACTCGCTCTCTGGCTTTGCGTTGCCCAGCTGAAACCCAAAACCCACACAAAAGACGTCTCTGCAAGATGAGCGCCGTGCTGGGCTGGCCTCCTATGGTTGTGGGTACCTGCAACATAATGCTGGTAATTGTTTAAACATGGCTTTGGGGGTTGGGGGGGTCCTCATGCTGGGAATGGTTCTCCAGCGCTTTGGCCTACCTTCATCCCCAGCAGGAGAAGGGAGATTGTGTTGGAGGTGTTGCTGTGAGAAACCCAACGCCCCACTAAAGACTCTTGCAAAATCAGAAGGCCAAAATTATTTGCTGCTTAGTCGAGAGCCTGGCACATAGCTGTAGATCGGTTGAATGTTTTTACAGTCTTGGTGATTATTATAATTATCATCATTATGGTCGTTAAGTCTTGAGAGCTTATTTATTTATTTATTTATTTATTTTATTTTTTTGCCGAGCACTCGTATTAGTCATTTAATCATCGCAGCCATGCTAATAATATGCAGTATGACTGCACTTACTTTACAGATGAGAAAACTATAACCTAGAGGCATTAAAGTGGTTTTCCCGAAGCCGGGTGGTTAGGAGGTGGTGGAGCTGGGTGTTCATGCTTTGTCTTAATGCATCCTTTGGGCAGACTCCACAGAGCTTGGATGGTGGATAGGTGGGTCGGTGGGTGGGCGGCAGTTACATATCCACGTATAGGAAAGAATTGGAACAACCTGTTACTTCTGCTAGAATTGGAGATGGTTCCCTAGTTGTGCCAGTCATGTTACGGTGTATTAATTATGTCCATACATGTATAAATATGACGTTGTATGTAAGAAATCATCCTTCAGGGGCGCCTGGGTGGCTCAGTCGGTTAAGCGTCTGCCTTCAGCTCAGGTTGTGATCCCAGGGTACCGGGATCGAGGCCCACATCGGGCTCCCTGTTCAGCAGAGACCCTCCTCCTTCTCCCTCTGCTGCTCCCCTGCTTGTGCACGCTCTCTCTCTCTCTCTCTGTGTCAAATAAATAAAATCTTAAAAAAAAAAAAAAGAAATCATTCTTCATTTTAGCCATCAGGCCTAGTGGGAGCTGGGAGTTAGTAATGTAAGTGGAAAGGGTATAAATATTTTCTTGCAGGTCTTGGCATCCACCAGGGGTGATGATGGCCAATTCTCTTGATTTGGGGGCCCATGATCTTGCTCAAAGGTGGGGAAACACAGCTCGTAATCAGAAAATCCTCTATAATAAGGCCCTTTCTGTTTCCCTAGTGCTCCATCTCCCCTTGGCTTCTCTGAAACTTACAGAAGAAAATCGAGGAAGTGGGCTGAGAAGTGTTGTTAAGAGACGAGTTTAGGGGCCTACCCTGGCTGCTCGTTTGCTGGGTGACATTCACGTGCGGTTG